TTTTACACTCTATAAATAGACACAAACACGCTAAGGGAGGTAAGCGATATGCAAATGAGGTTTTTCAAGACAAACTGATTGGTCAATGAACATTGTGACTCTGAATCCACAGTGTGAAGACAAAATCTGAGATCTCAGTACCAGTTAGAGAAAAGCAGGAAGCTTTTTAGTCAGTAGCTGAACAACTGTTAAATCTATCTGCATGTAATTTGAAAGTGACATTTGACAGGGTTAAAGTTCTGCTGAAATAGAATGTCATTTTGTTGTTTAAGGTTCTGAATCTCAAGTCCTGGAAAAGTAATCATATAAATGAATCATTTCATTTATGATTATGATGACATTTATGATATAATTCGTTCCATGTTAATAGTTAAAGTAAGACAGTTACTATTTGTGTTCATACTTGTTAAAGTGGCTTCCAGCTGGCATAGTCCTTTTGATGCATGTAATTTGTTTTTTAATCACTGAACAGAGTGAAGAAATAAAACAAAACTTTGGTTGGAATTGTAGAACTTTATTCACAAAATATTACAGTGAAATTACATGGGTCTGGCTAGTAACTTTTTATTTTTCTAGTGAAAGAAAATATTTGCTTGTCAAAGGTCATGTAGAGCCCTGCTGTTATTTTTATAATATAGCAGTCGACATGCCGCCCAGATAGATACTGTCAGAAAACACAAAGTTAGGACATTTCAGTCAGGTTGGCCGAATACTCATCGGTTATGGCTGACTTATGACAGGGAAGGTGATTTAATATTTTGTAAACTATGTACTGAAGATGGTATGACACGAGGCTAAATGCAGAAATTTTAAAAATACAACTTTGACCAGACATCTCATCATAATGATAATAAACTGTCCATTCAGGCTCCAAAACTTTGTGATGATTTCCAGGTTGCAACTGCACGTATGTATGAAAAACAAGACAAAGCAGCTGTCGCCTTGATGAAATCTGTTCATTGGTTAGCTTGTGAAAACATCCCACTGACAAAGTTTAAACGTTTTGTTGACTTTTTATATGAATTTGAAAACGAAGACATTGAAATTCTCAAGGAAGGTAAAATCAACTATGATTCTCCAACAAGTGCCATTGATCTGTTAACATCTGTGTCTGATGTGATAGGGTATGAACTACAAGTTAAAATGGAAGAGTCTCCATTTGTTACGATTTAGGTACTACCAGCTCTGTTCTGTGAAATATCCCAGACCGGTCAGACTCACCTGTGCAACCTATAGTAATGATAAACCAGTTTGAATAATATTTGTGGCATTAATTTTTGTTAGGGACTCATAAAAGTTCTGAGGGACTCATAGTTATTGGGCTCAGTGAGTCCCGGGACTCAGGCAGTTGAATTTGTAGATTTATCACTGATAGTGTGGCAGTGGGTTAGCCTAATGGTGAAAGTGTCTGCTCATCATGTTGAAAAAAACAACAGCTGTGTAGAATGGTTTGCGCATTATACAGGCTGTAATTAATGTTGATGTTTATACCAGTTACTGGCACTTGTAACACCAGAAACACCGTGTCAACAAATCCAAAATTGAATACACAATTTATCTTAACTTTCTGGTTATCAAAAGTGTTCATATGTATACCTTGACTTATTTAATTAATCAATTTTTAATTATTATATTTCTTAATAGTAATACTTATATTGATATTTATTGTATTAATAATTTCATTTGGTATTGTTTTTTCCCAAAAAGTACTGAATCCTCAAGGGGAGGGTGCTTATTATGAACAAAAACTCAGCAGTCCTGAATAAGTAGTGTTTAGTTCAAATGAACGATATTTACAATACAGAAACACACGGATAATAATTTTTTACCCATAAAATACCATTCTAAGGAAATCATAAGTGTTATGACATTTTCCTCTTTTGTAATTCCAGGATCAATGTTATAATATATCTGCAGTAGCTAACTACCAGATCTGTGATATAGTGCAGCATGATTTGCTGTTATTTCTACCATGACCACTTCCCCACTAGGGCAATACTAACCGTCACATAACAGTATCACTCCACTCATGTCAGCTGACCTCATTTGCATAGATATCCGATGGAGATAGCGTATAGGATTGGTCTATAGTATTGATAACCCTGTGACACTGGATGATAACCTGGAATACTGACCAGGGCTGACCCCAGTGTTGTTACACCAGGTCACATAGGTAACCACTTGTATTTGGTGATAGAGCAGATTAACTCACTCCCTCCCCACCAGTCAGTACCAGATTGTGAGATCATACTCTGTCTTCCTGATGTGGGAGGCTGTCGACCACTTGCAGGTCGCAGCTCGCAGGTCGCAGGGTAGCTAATCCAACTAAGACTAGGGGTGTCGCGATACGCGAATGTATCGATGCATCGATACATTTTTACTGACGATGCGATATGCGATACATGCTTGCATGTATCGATTTCTATTTTAAAACTTTATCGATTCAAATTTTTATGCTATATCCATCTCCTTCAAAGTCTTGATAGTAAAATTATACGAGACCGCTCCGATAAATAGATGTAGCTAGCTTTACTTAAAAAATAGTTTGGAAACTAACAGCTTTTGTGATTGGCTTGACTATTTTGATGGACCAATCAGCGAGCGCGTACGTTGCCGGTAAGGTAATGCTATGAAAAGGCGCGAAAATTATGTGGCGCGATACGTATCGTATCGTGACCTTAAAATCGTGATACATATCGTATCGTGAGATTGGTGTATCGTGACACCCCTAACTAAGACTGACACCAAAGACATGAGGTTCCTGCCAATACCCGTGCATGACACAGAGGGGACATGATCGGATTCAGTTTTCTAGCCATTGAGTCAAAGCTACTTAAAACTTTACTTGTTGGATGATGTATTCAATATTAAAGCCTGAGGCTTGGCAAACTTACTTATCGTAAAGGATGAATTGATTATAGATGCTGCTTCTGTTGTGTATGAAATTTCTTTTAGAACTCAATATTATTTTTATATTTTTGATAATGCTAAGTGATTGCACAGTAATTGTGACTTGACTGTCACTGATGACCCAAGTCCTGCCACTGCCCGGATGACTAGGAGTTGTGTTGAGGAAAGTAGCTTCCCTGACAATGACGTGACAATAATGCCATGTAGAAATTTGATGATTCATGGTGGCTGTTGAATTACGGACAGTTGGTATGTATGTGACGATGAGAGGTGAGTGTGCCTATATTTGTCCACACGTCATTTGCGACTGATGCCCATTTGGGAATGAAGGTCACATGACTACTGGGTTTTAGGGCACACTGTAGGAGTGCAGTTGGTCATGTTGTTAGTTGCAACGTTGGGGACCATGTTGTAAGGATGACTTTTGGTGACATCCAACTTGGATATCAAAATTCTGAAAAGGCCTGTAGTCATCAAACACGCTCACTCACCCAGAAATCCCCTCTTCCACATACTGCTCACACAATCACTGGAGCGCACTCCTTCAAACACACTTACTCACCCAGAAATCCACTCTTCCACATACTGCTCACACAATCACTGGAGCGCACTCCTTCAAACACACTCACTCACCCAGAAATCCACTCTTCCACATACTGCTCACACAATCACTGGAGCGCACTCCTTCAAACACACTCACTCACCCAGAAATCCGCTTCTTCCACATACTGCTCACACAATCACTGGAGCGCACTCCTTCAAACACACTCACTCACCCAGAAATCCACTCTTCCACCTACTGCTCTCAAATCACTGGAGCGCACTCCTTCAAACACACTCACTCACCCAGAAATCCACTCTTCCACATACTGCTCACACAATCACTGGAGCGCACACACTCCTCACCCAGAAATTCAAACACACTCACTCACCCAGAAATCCACTCTTCCACATACTGCTCACACAATCACTGGAGCGCACTCCTTCAAACACACTCACTCACCCAGAAATCCACTCTTCCACATACTGCTCACACAATCACTGGAGCGCACTCCTTCAAACACACTCACTCACCCAGAAATCCACTCTTCCACATACTGCTCACACAATCACTGGAGCGCGCTTCTTCAAACACACTCACTCACCCAGAAATCCACTCTTCCACATACTGCTCACACAATCACTGGAGCGCGCTTCTTCAAACACACTCACTCACCCATATGAAGAAGACTCAAGCACAACCAGTACATGGATTAGGACTTGTTGTGTCTGGTAGTATCAATCATCAGGGACGATTGGTGGCAAGTTACCCCAGAGTGTATGAGGTGCCTACACAAGTCGGTGTCTGCAGCCATCAAATACCTATTTGTATGTGTAACACTGAGCTGATGGCTGCAACATACAGAACTATGACAGTGAAGTGGTTGTAAAATACATGAAGCATTTCCTATGTACTCTTCACTTGAAGGAGGTGAGCCCATCAAATGTATGGCAGACACTTGCTACCTGTTTTGAGTGGTTGTTGATGTCCCAGGACAGAACTCTTCATTGGTTAACAACAGCAGCAGCAGCTAACTCAGAGTCTTGCTTACACAAGTGTCTTAGCTAGCAAGAGTGATTTATGGTAAATTTATTCAGTGCAGTGTAATGAGAAACTATATTTCATCTGGGATGTGTAAACAACATGTTAAATTTGAAGAAGAAAAAAAACAATAAAGAATTCCATGTAACTGCTCTCCTCCCATGATGGGAGGAGATGGTGAATTCCAGCGAGGGGTGAAGGAGAACCAGCGAGGTATTTAGTAACTTCCACTAACAGTACCCCTCCATGTCCTGCAGAATCAGGCCAGTAATATGTCATCTGTCCATGTCAGGGAACACATCGCTTGTGTCAGAACTGCCCGAGTTAGCAGGTGTTTCAGTCAGTGAGTGAGTGAGTGAGTATTTTGGTGTGGTAGGAATTCTTGTGCATCACTGTGGTTTTGCTCATTGCAAGAATAACAAACTGTGCTGTCTGGGAACGATGACAGACTTCACGTCTCCCAGTATCACTGAAACTAAGCATTATATCTATAAAATTATGCTTTCAGATGAAGGAGGAGTTTTATATCCTGCCAACTGATTCCTTCCACACGACTAGCTGTCCATTGTAAGTATGGCTATATCTCCCTGTGCTGTGATCCCAATGTGGACAATGTCACAAGAAGATGTGATTGTCCCAGGTTGTTGGACACATGTTTTATTGATGTGGGTGGTTTTTATCCTGCTGTTTTCATCGACAGTGTAGTGACATTCTACTCCAGCTGTGGCGTTTATTAGGTCAGCCTCATCCTGTTAGTCTCACGGTTAATCTGCCATCAGTGAATCTAAAGTCTTCACTAAATCACTCCGACACTTGTTTAGTTTAATATCAGTACCATATTTCATCCCCTGATTCTTGAAGTAGGCTTGTCATCGTACAGAATGTAATTTGTTCAAGTACTTCCTTTTTTTGAATGGCCGTTGGTGGACAATACCCTTTACACCATGGTATCCCCCACGCCGATCCCCATTCAAGCTGCCCACTGAACAAGAAGTTGCCGTGTCACTCAGAGTACACTAAAGAAGGATTCCTCGTAAAGGTGCCACTGTAGGGAACACCATACAAACAGGACTATGTGAAGGTCTTGCCTTTTAAACAGATTGATCCCTGCCCTTCGCACTCAGAGAAGCCCCTCTCACTGGGTTGTCCCAGGTTAACGACCCTACTTCAGAGGGAATCCCTGTTTCCAGCTCCATTACTTCTGGTCCTAAACTATCCTGTGAGTGGCACCCCTCTGTCTGACTGACTGATTCCAGGCTGAACATCCCTGTGGTTTACTGTTAGCTGATATACCTGTCCCCCATCCTGTGTCCTCACTCACCTCACTCACCACACCTGGTCAGAACCAGTACCTGAAGTCTAATATATACCTTGTCAGATGTACTATGTTTTGTTATTGTATTCATGTCACACACTTTATACCACGAATTGCCTCATGAAATATATATTGTTATGACAATTTTCAAGGCCATGCCATTGCTCCATTTTAAGTTTTTCAAATGGACCCTCCAGTACAGCCTCATGGGCACCCTACAAAACAGGCCCCCTACAAAACAGGCCCTCTCTACTTTTTACAAATATTCCTCAATCGGTAATAATTGTTAGAAGAAAATTGTTTATCATACACTTGTCGAGAAACTGTTTCCAAGATGTGTTATGATATGTAGTCGTGTAAGTACAACATACCTATAGTTCCTGCTCTCATCCCATATTGTTTCATGTTACATTGTATGGAGACTGTATCTCAGTTGTGTGTGGAATGTACCTGTGTGTTACTGTACATATATTTGTAGTTTATAGAAGATTGACTCTGTTTCACCATGGAATGGTGCACAATAAATATCTTATCATTTCGACAAAAGACAGACATTTTCTGTACAAGCAAGGCCTTGCTTGAGATTCAATCCCTCATATATCAGTGAAACACTATCATAAAAACACAGTTTTGTGACACACAATGTCAGGAATAGCACACATTCCTCAAACTAAGTACACTTGAACCGTATGTTCGAGAATAATTGCTTGTCACCCAGTTTTGCTTTTTTAAATTCATGAAATGGGTTTAACTGTTTTCCAAATAATGTTTTGAACTTCTGTGTATGGCCACATGTGTATATAAGAGGCTGAGTGATTTTGAACTTGGAGAACCCTCCTCAGCTGCTGTGGTGCTGGAGACTTGACAAAGACAGAGGGTTGGGGCTGGAACTGGAGAGTGGGGACACTGGATAATGGCAGGCTGTGTTGTCAAAATGACACTTGATGAAATCATCAAATTGCTTGAATGATCTGTCACACTTCCTTCCTGCTTACCAAGCCAGTTTATCTCATCACTGATACGTCCCTACCATGTTCTTGTTGCCCTGTCCTTATGTCCATACAACCACTGTAGTGCTGCATCCCTATGTCATTACCATGTTCTTGTTGCCCTGTCCTTACGTCCATACAACCACTGTAGTGCTGCATCCCTATGTCATTACCATGTCCTTGTTGCCCTGTCCTTACGTCCATACAACCACTGTAGTGCTGCATCCCTATGTCATTACGATGTCCTTGTTGCCCTGTCCTTACGCCCATACAACCACTGTAGTGCTGCATCCCTATGTCATTACCATGTCCTTGTTGCCCTGTCCTTATACAACCACCGTAGTGCTGCATCCCTATGTCATTACCACTGTAGTGCTGCATCCCTATGTCATTACCATGTTCTTGTTGCCCTGTCCTTACGTCCATACAACCACTGTAGTGCTGCATCCCTATGTCATGGTGTCATGTCAGTGTGTGAGTAAGTGAGTGAGTTGAGTTTTACACCGCACTCAGCAATATTCCAGCCATATGTAGTGCTGCATCCCTATGTCATTACCATGTTCTGTAAATAATCAAGTCTGATCCAGTGATCAACAGTATGAGCATCGATCTGCGCAATTGGGAACCGATGACATGTGTCATCCAAGTCAGCGAGCCTGACCACCCGTTCCTGTTATTTGCCTCTTACGACAAGCATGGGTTATCTAAAGATCAAAATTTTAACCCGGACCTTCATGGGAATGTCCATGTGTCCATTACATGACACTGGTACCAAGCCCCATCCTCCCTATCACCTATCATTTAGTGACTCAATTGTTCAATGCTTGTGATAACACAACTTGCTGTTTTGAAAATCAAATGTACCTTTTGAAGAAACATCAAGCCTAAATCAATCAATCAATCAATGAATCAAGTAGTTCAGTCCTAAGGTTGAACTGTTCCCTTTTGTCCCAAACTGAGGTTATAGTTAATCCTAGTCCAATGTTTGACCCCATCTGCCCTGCCTGGTGAGTCTTTCAAGGAGAATACTAGACAATTGCAAAAAATTTGCTGGGTGAAAGATAAAGTCATCAAAAACATGTACCCCAATTTTATTATGTTTTTATCACGAAAACGGTTTCTGTTATCTGAGCTTCAGCCATTATGCATATTCCGCTGGAACTCACGTGACCTTTCCGCTCGTGACGTCATATGTGACTAGCGTCCACTTTATTGACAAAGAACAAGCGCTACAGTAATACAAATCGTGTTGTTTCTGTAGTTTCTGTAAATGGTACGATGGTGTATTCCGTTGCCTGGGGATGCACGGAATCATCGAACAATGGAAAGAGCCACCATTTCTTCCGTTTTCCAAGTAAAGAGACAGATATAGGCAGGAGAAATGCTCCGATCATGCTCCGAGTCGGACGCATATGAAAGAGACATGCACACATGGGGTATGAAAATCCCAAAGCTAGGCTGAAGAAGGAAGAAGTACCCACGAGATTCATTTATATTCCATCATTCCCTCTTACAACTTACTGTCAGTGGTATTTTTAACATAAATTAAATCAAGTCTGATTACCAGTCGAATTGCCCCCGCTATAAATTGCCCCAGCAAATTTGGTCAGATTGCCCCAGTGGGGTAGTCAAAATGCCCCAATTTATTTAACATGATTAAATATATGCCATAAATGCATAGTTTTGTCAACTTTGATATTATGTTCCTCATATAAAGTATATGCATAGTTATGAGTTTACTGATGGAACATTTATCAGAAATATTACTTTCTAATAACTGTTATATGAAGAGCATAATATCAAAGTTGACAAAAACTATGCATTTACGGCATATATTTAATCATTTCAAATTAGAATGAATGACCAAATTTGCTGGGGCATTTTGTAGCTGGGGCAGTTCGACTGGTACCCATGAGATATATATTATCAAAATCAGTAAGAGATTTCACATGAGCTTGACAATGTTTCGCTATAACGTTCTTTTGGTTTGGAGCCCTAAATGCTGCAGTCTACCCGAAACATTGCCGAATACAACGGCAAATCATGAAGTACTTGTTGCTTTCAGTGTTTTCCATTTTGTCTAGTTACGCACGTTGGCATCAGACTCGCTATTTGTCAGTGTGTGCCGTGAAAGTTGTTCTGTATTCTCATTGGCTGACAAGATGTCATTCTAAGGCTAAGACCGAGTACCATAACTATTTCCATAACCAAACACTGCGGAACATACATTGTCCTGACTACTATTTTATAATTCACCAGTTTTCGGGGAATAACTTATATGCATCGCGAATATTATCTCTGCTCGACCAGGCTGGGATCTTGTATGGAGACGTGATACGTTATGAATGAGATCTAGCTAGGATCCTATTTTTTTTTCAACAAAATAATTCCAGTGTAAGTTTTGTAGCAGATAATTTATATTTTCTCCCATCTGAAGCATAATTATTTTGTTTTTATATCCCAGACACCCTACAGTCACCCATTTGACACAAAAGGAACTGCAATCACATTTTTTTTTTTAAATCTGAGGGACTGGTCATATATTTATAGGGGTGGGTTTGCTGGCTGGAACTGTATCACATTTTGCTGACAAATAGTATTCTTGTTAAATGATATGGTCTACTTTTAAGTTTATTTTGACCCCAAGTGGTGCCTCCGTTTTGCTTAATTCTTCTTCTTCTTTATCTTCACTGAAAGATTGTCTTGCAAGATGTAAAATGGGATCGTATTGATACGCTCTAACATCCATTTCAGAAATGGCATCAGGAACGTCTCTTACTGCTTCAGAATCCATGGACACTGTTAAGTTGTGAGGTAAAATCAAAGAGGAAGGCATCAGCAACAGGCACATATGATGTCATGTCACGTGATACCCCCTCTGCTCATTAACTGTCGGGTGTTTCCGTAATAGACGGAAATACGAGTACGTGTATTTGGTGTTTTTATTGCTATTTTACAAACTTTTTGTTAAATTTTAACCACGGAAGGTGACTTTTAGAATATCCTTTACAATATATCAAAAGTTTTGTTTTTGTTCGTATTTTCCTTTAAGCCACCTACACTGGACATGAAGTGTACCAAGCCCCGAAGAGCTGCCTTTCAGAATTCTTGCATCAAGAGTACTGTGTGTGACCTTGTGGCACACAGCAGACACCCCGTACCCAGCAGCATCACATGAACTTATGTCACCACGTCATAGGGTGTCAAACAGATATAGAACTAACCCTTCAATTATGGCCTCTTTTGTTGAAACTAAAGTCCCA